TGTGTGTGTGTGTATATGTACGCTCCTGTTCTCCGCAACGGAGTGCTTGCCCTGGCGAGCAGACAGCTGCTCATGGGAGAAAACAGTGCGTGTGTGTGTGTGTGTGGCACAAGATTGTGAGGACACACACAGCAATTTAATAAAATATTGTGGTTCGGAGTCTCCAAAAGCAACACAGCTCATGTCCGCCTTTGTTTACCTTATTATGGAGGACACCGCAGACTGTCCCGCGCATAATAAACCCCTCTCATAGGCTTGGGGATTTATATGTGAATGCTACACCGCTCGTTCAAGACCGAACTCGCGCCATCCAGCACGACCAAAACCCGACCATGTCAACGCTAATGTGTAAGCGCCGATACGTACCGGTATGTGTGTATTGTGTGTGTACGCCGTGGTTTAAGCAAATAAATTATGTTAAAAAAACAAACACCAAAGACTTGCCACAATGAAAATACTCCGAAGGCGATGTTTGGTTGCCTTACAGTTGCGATCCAAGCGAGCCGACGAGACATTGTTACGCTAGATACGTGGTCTCCGATCACAAGCAGGAGCACAGTGAAAGTTAACTAATTTTCCACCTTTATTCTCCTGACGACCACGTGTTGCACCCCAAAACACAGCAACGATTTACCGTGGTTGCGTAATATAACTGATCAAATGAAAGATATCTTATTAGACCTAGACAAATTGTGCTGTAGTCTGGAGAAACAAGCAATAAGCAAGGACTCAGAGCCCGCCAACATGGCAGCTGCATCAGTGATGATGACACAATCCCAAGCTCTATTAGCAGCCATTAGAGTAGACGGGTGCATTTCCACCGAAAGCAAAGCGGCGCGTTTTGTACGCAGACCATAAGCTTACGTACGTCGCTCTGCTAGAGGTACACTTCGAGTCTATTTTTGGACGCGCTACGCTCCCAGAACGCATCAACTTCAGCAGTTCAGATGGAGCCAGACAGGAAGTCTAACACAAAAGCAGTTAAAACATCTGCAAACTTTAAAAGTATAAGACACTCAGTCATGGACGTAATTTTCACTTTAGAAGTGGAGGTGGTGGTGGTGGTGGTGGTGGTGGTGGGGGGCACGGGGGGGGGGGGGGGATCTTTACTGTATGCTCTAATGGGAAACAGGTTTCAACACTAACGGTTGTTTTCTGCTTGGTCCTAGAGCTCAACCAGTGTCGATTTAATATAGCGTAATATTGTTTTTGGATGGTAAAAAGTGCAGGGGTCAAAACTTGACTTTGGAAAGAGTGGGGGGGGGGCATGTCCCCCCGTTCCCCCCTAAAATTACGTCTATGCACTCAGTGACATTTTAGCCGAAGTTAACAAAACAGAAAAATAAACCAGACCCTGTGAATACATGTCTGTCTAGCTTGTTATTGCATGAACTGCTGAAATCACGCTTGCAAAACAAAAAGATAAGTCCTTATATCTAAACTTTGTTTCTGACCTGTTTTGCATAAAACAAACACTTTTGTTGACGTTATTGGAACTTTTGATTTACTTCTATCAAATGACTTTTACAGAACTTAAAATCAGTCATATAATCAGGAATAAAATCTTATGGTTTGTGACTACAACACTTTTTTTGTGCCTCGGAGAAAAGGCTGAAAGAAAGAAAGGGGTTCACAAAGTAAAAAGGAGGGAGGCAGTAAGTAAAGGAGGGAGCAATCCGAAGGGAGGAGTCAAGTGGGGGGAAGGAGCAGCTGGAGTCCCACACTTCTTCGCCCTTTCTCCTCTCGGAAAAATGCACTAAATGTAATAAGAACTCTGCACGCGCTTCTCTGACGCTTCTGTTGTTTTTACGCACATCTGTCGGCAGATAGAAGCGTGTTAGTCTGCTGTCTGAACACAGCAAACTGTGAGAAGGAGGAGAAACACAGACAAGAGGAAGAACTCTGGCTGCGCCGCTTTGGAGTTGCTGCGTAAAAAAAAGCAAGTGAGAGAGAGAGAGGGAGAGAGAGAGAGGGAGGGAGAGAGAGAGAAAAGTCCAAGACAACTTCCAGAGGCACGTCTGCAACTCAAGAAGAGCAGAGGAGGACAGAAGAACGCAGATTTGTTTTCCAAAAGAAGATAAAAAGTGAAGAATTAGAGGAGGAACCATCCAGGAAGAAGTAAGTTTTCAAGGCGCAAACGCGTAATGGAGCAGAATTTTAGTGCGTTTTTTTAACTTTTGCGAGCCAGAGACTTTGTGAAACATGCAGAGGTTTCATATTTCAAAATGATGGAGTTTAGCTTCAAAGCAGGAACTTTTAGAGCTTTAAGCAACAATGAAAGTCTTAAACTCGAGCGCATAATAGACACTTGTCCGGAATGTGGCTGCATGTGTCTCCAAAAAGTATTTAAACTTGCGCAAAAGTGCCAAAACTTTCTTTGTGCTGTGTTTTTAAACGTGTATGTTTTATAACACAGTGGAGCACATTGAAAAGTTACTATCTTGTGCAAAGTTTTGAATTAAAACTTTGTCCAGGCGTGAAACTTTTTGGAGTTTTACCTCCAGAAAGGCGCATGATTTTTTTTTTGGGGGGGGGGGGGGGCATATTCATGTGTGATCAAATTTCAGCGGCTGTTATTGATTTGTTTGATCCCGCAGGAGTGCGGCACACACACAGGAACAGTTAGTGGGAGGATACAGGAGTGTGTTCAGACAATATTTTACTCTGAATGTCTCCTGACCTTCATGATTTACACTTAATTCTAAAAAAAGAAAAAAAAAAGAAAAAAGGATTTTAATGTTGGTTTATAGAACAGAAATAATTCGAGCATTTAAAAAAATGTAGTCATGAATTTAAAATGAAGAGCAAACATTTGACACTAAAATGTGTTTAAATGGATCTATTTGCTCCACAAATGATCTAATATAACGTGTCCTTACATTTTGTTTTGGTCATTTAGCTTAAAGAAAATATTTTTGAAAATGAACAAAGTGGCATGTTAAAGGACACGTTACAGGTTCTGAGACATTTAAGGAGGCGGGACCTGTGGCCCCTCAGGGGTCAATGTGGGCACTGATTTAGGGTTTGGGTTCCCACGCAAAATACCATCATTCTACTGTATCTTAGTTTAATTAGCTGGGATGTTTGTGATTATAAAAAATGTTATGATCAGTTTAAAAATAATTAAAGCACACAAAATTAAACAGCTATAGTGACGTTTGCAGCTTAAAAGCATTACATTTTGAGAAGAGAAGTTTGTGTCGTGGATCCTAGAACGTTTGTGATCCCCCCTGAAAAACTTCTCCACATGTGCAGATATTTGTTTGCAACTTTCCCTCCTGTCCTCGCCAGCTGTTCCACATTTTATCTGCTTGTCTGCTCTCGGGTTTCAAAAACTATGAGGGTCCGAAGTGCTCAGCCATGCGGTACGGCTCAAATAAATCCTGTCCCCTTTTCTTGAAGACTTATTAATGAATCCTCCAGAAGAAGTGGACGAATGGAATAACTGAGAGATGGAAATATGATTTTTGAATATATTTTATGAGGAGGTTCCACCATTCGGCGTTGCAGTTTGACCTTTCCTTTTAAATCTTAATTGCAGCAATTTTTTAAAAAGCAACAAATAAACTGTAATCAAATGATTTTTTAATTTCTTATTTAAAGTAGCCAAACAATTCACTTGGATTTATTGCTGCCATAATTATTGGCTTCAGCTAACATGGAAACAAATAAGGAAAAGAGTCTGGCCTTAAATCATTAAAAAAAAAACTGGGCTGATCTATAATTCATAAAATTTTCAGTAATTTAAATTAAAGCAAATTTTAATTTCCCTCCCTAATTTTACATTGTTGCTGATTATACAAGTAATTAAATATATTTAAAAATCAAAAATCCACTATTACAATAATAAAATGTCTATATACATATATTTTTTACAGTGCTGACAGATTATTTAAAGAAGCCTGACTGATAATTTTACAAATATTGAAAATATTACACAATTGATTTTTCTTTAATTTACTGCTAAATTACCCCAATGTTAATGCATTCCAACACAAGGATATTTAAAAGCATCTTATTGTTTTAGAAATGATAACAAAATAAATTAGAATTTTAGTCGCATCTATAATTAATTATGCAATTACAAAACTAACAGAAGAATGGATCCGTACTGATGCACTTTTACTCAAAAGGGGCGTTTTTGTTCTTGGAGGATACATGCAAAGCTGTTCCAGGATGCTGATCTGAAGGAATGAGATGTATCACTGCTGCCTGGAATGGGGAGCTCGCGGATAACGTTCCCTCTGCAGGAATCAGCCTGTCTGATAGCGGCTGCATGCTTTTCCTTTTCTATTTTTTATCTAAGCCCTCTCTGCTCAGCAGCATTATGCATATAGAGTGACACTGGCCCAGGCCACCTGTGACCTTATGACCTGGCGGAATAGAGGCTGTCATGTTAATGCACGGAGATGACATGCAATTAGCTTTTGAGGCATGGCCCTTTGCTTTATTTACCTTGCTTTCACAGCTGAATGGAGCATCTATCCTCGGGCCTTTTTGTCTTCTTCCCCAAAACCCTGCCAGAAGAATACCTGTTATCTGGTTTGTATGCATGAGGCTCTAATGAGCTGTCTTGTTGTGTTAACTTTGCAATCTGAGGCTCTCAAAGAGGTGGCAAATGTTTTGTTAAAACAAGTGCAATGAAAGGAAAGTTGGTTAGGATAATGAGGACAGAAGAGGAGTTTGGTGTGTGAGTTTTTGAGAAGATGTGTAAACGGAGACAATTATGAGTGAGGGAGTATGTTCGAACCCACCTGACCAGTGAAAGTTTGGTGTAATTCTGTGTAATGTGTGTGATTAGCTGTTGCTTCCCTTTGCATATAGTTGAATAGATGGCCCCCAAAAGAAATCTCCTCCTTTGATGATTGGGTACTTTGATATGCTGACATCAAATGAAACAGACACAGTGGGGAGAGAGAGAGAGGACAAGTCAGACAGAGGTAGTGATTGGGAGGGGGGACAAGTGTGTGTCAGTGTGTGTGAAAACTTGGGGCAAACCTGAGGCACGTCAAGATGTCTGGATGCATTTGCGTACGAGCGTAGACGTGCAGGGGTCTCCGGGTGTACGAGGGCTTCTCCTTGGCCTCCTAATCCCCAGGCCCAGCCATCCCTTCAGGGCATGCCTCAGATCTGACTCTGGCTCTGTGCGTGGACCAACCAGCTCCGCCAGCAGATTTAATATGCTATGTGTTCCCACTTCCCCTGACTCCCCTCCACCTCGGCTATCATTGTCCCTGAGCGGGACCCTCGCCGCCTGTTTCAAGGAGCCTGCTAAAGGCACCTTTCAAGCCACGGTGATGTCTTTGGATAAGGGGGAGAGTGGGACGAAGGGGGTATGAGACTCGAGATAACAAACTGCAATTTTAGATATGTATATTACTCACATTCAGGAATTTTAATACACTCCGGGGCTCTGCAACTAGCGGTCCCTGCTGTCACCAACTCTGGAAATGCATGCTGGCTTTCTTTTTCTCTCCTTTTTTCATTCAATTCAAAACAACTTTTTACAATTTTGCTAATAAAATTGAAATGGATTTTTTAAAAGCCGGAGCTGATTGCAGTTATTTTTCTGGTGAACTTCGGAAACTGTTGGTGACAATTATCCTGCTCTCGTTGAGCGAGACACATAAAATGGTCATAAAAGTAGAAAAAAAGGAAAGGGTTTTAATAAATAATTTAAATTCATGACTGCGCTTGACAGCGTAACACAAGGACCGTTGTGAGGGTGGTACATTTTATTCCCAATATCCAGAGAACCCGTAAGCTTTTCCGCCTTTCCTTTTTTCTCCCCTCAAACCGGCGAATAGCAAGCGGGGCTGGTCGAGCCTGCATGTGGCCGCCACTCATCCCCTCCTCTGTTTGCTTTGGACGCTGTAAAAATGTCTTTAAATCTGTGGTGTGAAGTGTAGCAGCACGAGGTGAAGTGCTTCGGTTTGAGGCCCATCTGCTTGTGTGTTAAGGAAAAAAAGTTGAGCGCCCAAACGGACAAGTTTCCTGGGCTTCCCTGGGTCCGTGGCTGCTTTTGCAGATGTGGTATTGTGTCAGCTTTGATAAGAGCCGGTTGTGGCATCCGTGAGGAGGTCTGGGCTTTTTTTTCAAACACTGGCCGCTTGCTGTGAACAATGATCTGTCATCCACCCCTTTTCTTGATGTGTGACACCAGGCCACGCTTTTTTCTTCTTTTTACCCCAACTGGCTCAGTTGAGCAAGAGAAATGTACTTTCTGTACTAATCTAAACCCAAATTATGTCCTCACAGTAATGGAGAATGTGTTTGCTGGTTATCTTTTAGAAGGTATGCCAGTGTCTTACTAGGCTGCGACTTTTGGTGACAAAATGAGAAAGGGACTCTGAAATATCTAAAAACGTACTTGAGTAATCTCAAATTTATCACTCGAGTCTCAGCTTGGGGCCTTAGCTTTCCATCGTTGGAGTTTTGAACACATTTGAAAAAAATTCCTTGTCTGAGTCTGAAACCCTTCGTGAACACTTCTCAATTTCTTCTCGGTTTAGTTTCCACAAGTTCTGAGATATTCGAGACAACTCTGGGAGGGGTTGGAGACTAAATTTCACGTAAACGAAGGTAGTTCCCAAACAAATCGAGACACTTTGTGTCCCCCAAAATTAGTGTGATATTTGAAATCTGCTTGCAGTTACATCATATGTCCCACAGGACATAGATCCTGCAGAAGTACGGTGTGCACCAATTCATTCTTGCCTTCAACTAGTCCCCAACAGTTGCAGCCCAGGGAGATACTGGCTTTATCCTCGAGCCTTGCTGCATCCCGGAGTGGAGGTCAAGGAGGTGTCCATTGTTTGAATGCCAAAAGTAAATCCCAAGGTTAATACCTGAAAGAAGCCCAGACAATCTATTTACTCTCCAAACATGTTGTAGATGGCTACCTCTTCCACCCCCCCTCTTTGGCCCTTTTATTTCTGTTTTCTGTGTTCTCGAAGCAATCTGGAAAAGGAGGAGGAGAGGGGGACTATGTATCCCGTATAAATCCCCTTTAGTGTGTTCGTTTCAGTAATGAATGCTAACAGACTCTGCCTCTAATAATGCCTCATCTTGGAAAAACAAAAGGGCAACTCTACTATCTGAGCAAATTTCAGCCCCAG